CGGGCCAGCAATATGCAAACCAATCGCGGGAGCAGTAAAACCTACGACTCCTGCATGATACTTTGGTGCATTTGAGATTTTGGCATGTCTGTGCATGGAATTGGCATTCGAGGGTCCTCGAGTGTGTTTATAGAGTGGTCTTCATCCTCTTATTTAGTGATACATTCAATGTTTACGATTGTTAGAATTTTCGAACGAAACAGTGTCTCGAAGCTATCAATTTTAGCCATAGTTAAAGTTAAAAAATTTAGAACAACGTTTTCAAACAACTCGAATAATTCAGTATTCTTACGTGAACTTTCTTTGATTCGTTTCTTTCGTAAAATAATCAAACTCGGTTTTAAATACAAGCATCCATCTATTTCCGAAACAGCTCGATGTGTACCTAAAATTTGAAATTCAGAAAGAGAATCTATGCAATGATTTCGATGCCCGAAAGAGAGACTGCTTTCTTCTACCCGATTTCAAATTCAGAACATTTTCAGACCTATTCCAAGTCGCGTACAGCAATGATTCGTAAAATGAACGCGTGATTCGTAAGTTGAACATATCTATACTTTCCACCTGGCGGTATATTTGAAACACGATCGCCTCCGTTGTACGAAAAATGAACGCGCCAAACCGCGGAGCGTCGTTCATTTTACGAATCATCGCTGTAACCGTTCATGTATTTGTTTTCTTGATCGAAGTCGCGTGATTCTATAAATTTGCACTCGAAAACATCCATCTGGCAGTCACGCGATTATTTTTCCGAGTGCTTACATATAGGTCGCGTCATTTCCATTAATTCGAATCGCTTGAAGTGGAACAGGAACGTCCGGATCGATCGCGTCGCAACGCGGAGAGAAACGAGCGACGATGTAATTGTAAAATGCGCTCTCGTTATCGCATCGCCACGAAAGCCAGTGCGTGAATTACGACTCGACTGTGATTTCGTCCACCTCCCCCCACCCCCGTCCCCCTCTGGAAACCCCGTGGTGCGTCAATTTATCGTGAGTTCTGCGAAATAAAATGCACCGAGGAGGAAACTTTCCCGACGAATGGAACGCTCGAAGATGGAAACTGCTCTGGGTTTCTGTCTTCGTTAGTTCTGGTTAGTATTTACAGTACTATCCGTCACACTGTCGCGATCCCTCACCGTCAGGTTCACGCAAACTTAGCCCCGCGACTTCCGGGAACGACTAGCAGCGTCTTAAAGCCTTCCGGTTCAGAACGCTAAGCTGAAACCCTATTTACATGAATTTTCCACGGTTCTTTCGAACGTTGTGCATTTATTTATAAAACCTTTTCTGCTGGCCTCTCAACATTTTACGATCAGAATCGTAAAAATTTAACGAACATGATTTTATTCGGATAAGAAAGTTATTATGTGCTCCTCTTAATTGAACTTGGAAGGTATTAATAGTATACAGGGTGAGGCATTTTAAACAGGTCACCTGAATAACTCGCTTGTTTTTGAAGATAGGAGAAAATGCATTAGACCAAACTTATTTGGTATCGGGGGGCTCATAATCTGGTATTACCAATTTTTTTGTAGGTGGAGGCGTCAAGGAGATATGAAGGTCAACTTTGTTTTTTTAAATGGAACAGTATATTTTATTACTTACATTCTGATAGAGTGTTTCAAGGCGAATACAATGACCTATTATTAAGGTCATTCAAGGTCACCCAAAGTCAACTGCAATAGAAAATAAATTGTGTCAAAGCACTCTTCGAACACTTGGATACTTTGATACTGCTATTACAAGTGTTCAAAATGGCGACCTTGAACATGGATACATAGTCTAAATCGTTGCAATACTGATGACACTGCCTGGCAAATTTCATTTGTATCTATTACAGAGCAAGCTCTTCTTATACGTTCTTGCATGTCAAGTTTGGTAGTTGGTTTTTCGCGGTACACTTCTGCCTTTAATTTTCCCCACAAATAAAAATCGAGAGGTGTCAGGTCTGGGGATCGTGCCGGCCATTTGTTACTTCCTGATCGACCTACCCAAGAATCTCCAAATTTTCTATTTAGAAATTCTGTAACATTGCGTGCTGAATGAGCAGGGCATCCGTCTTGCTGGAACCACATGGATTGTCGTATGTCCAGTGAAGTGTCTTCTAACAATTCTGGCAAAACGTCTTCTAAGATTCTCAGGTACTTACTACTATTTAGCGTGCCATCAATAAAATATGGACCAATTATTTTATTATGAAGAAGACCGCACCAGACGTTTACAGACCAAGGTCTCTGTTTGTCGACTTCTCTCAACCATCGTGGATTATCTACCGACCAGTAGTGCATGTTGTGACGGTTAATTGCTCCATGGTTTGTAAATGTGGCCTCATCGGTAAATAACAATTTACTCAAGAACATTTCATCGTCTTGTAGTTTTTGTAAGCCCCATTCACAAAATTGTAAACGTTTTGTATAATCATTTTCAGTTAATTGTTGATGAAGTGATATGTGGAACGGATGAAATTTGTTAATGTGTAATATTCGTAAAATACTTCGTTGACTGATGCCACTTTCGCGTTCCAGTTGTCTTGTACTAACATGTGGATCTTGTATTACAGCTGCTACAATATTTATCGAGTTTCCATCATCAGTTGCTCGTTTGGCAAGATTACGTGTTTTGTTATCCACAGTTCCAGTTTCTTGGAACTTTTTTATAATGTTTGTAAAGACAGAAAGTGAAGGTCTATTATTACGATCGGGAAATCTTTCACTATACACACGTACCGCTTCCCTCATAATTCTATGACATTCACCATAAATAAGAACCATTTCTACTTTCTCTGCTATCGTGTAACGCATTTTAGAAAACTAAACACTTAGACTGAATAAATGTTACGAAGCTGTGCTCTAGTCGGTAGTAAAATTACCAATAATGTTTGAGGATACGGATAAGCGTACAATGTGATTGAATGTTTGTTTATCTTTTGTGACCCGTGTCACGCAATACACACACGTGATACACAAGTATTCGAAATGTACTCTGACACAATTTATTTTCTATTGCAGTTGACTTTGGGTGACCTTGAATGACCTTAATAATAGGTCATTGTATTCGCCTTGAAACACTCTATCAGAATGTAAGTAATAAAATATACTGTTCCATTTAAAAAAACAAAGTTGACCTTCATATCTCCTTGACGCCTCCACCTACAAAAAAATTGGTAATACCAGATTATGAGCCCCCCGATACCAAATAAGTTTGGTCTAATGCATTTTCTCCTATCTTCAAAAACAAGCGAGTTATTCAGGTGACCTGTTTAAAATGCCTCACCCTGTATACAGAATGAAGGTTTTTGAATTTTATTAAGTTTAACAGCCAATAAATATTGTATGGAACTTAATTTTTTCATGTCGTTAATCTCGTTTGGGAATCTTGTTTGTAATATATTGTAATTTGTATATTTTGTATTATAGTTGTGTTTTTTGTGATTGCTCGGTACTCTTTTTCATTCTATATCAATGAATTTTATATCTATTTATAATAAGTAAATAAATGAATAAATCAATCAATTGACCATTGATGCTCCGCGTGTTACCAAACACCCGGTGGATAACATGGTTGCTTCGAGTCAGAGGGGGCCACAATATTATTCGAATAATAGATGACGAATGAAACCAAAGTACAATAGAACCTCGATTATTGCATAGAGATAACCAATCCAATGTAGCTCTACACAGCTTATCCCATTTACTACCTCTGACCATACTTGTTTAGCGACCATCCCCCCATTTGTCGACACAGTGCAACGAACGATGCTCTCAATCAATAAACGAGGTTTATACTCTGTAGAAGTTTAGTCGGAAATACTTAATTACTCTCTAATTAATACGTAAGAACAGTATGTTAGACAAATCGTTTGTGTATGTCAGAAACTAATCATTTTTTTACAGATATATTTACAGTCAAAATAACTTTATTTAGAGACCGAATAATTTATCAAAAACGTACCAATAAAATAAAGATATGAGATTAAAAATATAAATTAAAAAGAAAATGTCCAAAGCCACATTCAGAGAACACTTAATCAGCTCGAGGTCGCGTTGTTAAGCTGATTTTAATTATAATTTCGAGAAATTTTTGCATCTTTTGTCGTTGTTATTTAGTTGTCGAATTCTATTATCCGCGTGAAGCTCATTCGGGGAATTTTGCTGAAAAAAGTTTCATAAATTGCGTACGCACCGAACTAATTATTTTTCATTCCCATTATGAACCAACGACTAATTGAGTTTTCGATATGAACAAATTATAACAATATTTTGCAGACGGGAATTGCTCGAGTTTTGAAGCATATTTTTCACAGAAATGCTTGCACATTCTATGAATATAATTCCATTTGGAATTATTCCTTGTCACGTCATTATACAATAGCTGCAAATTAATCATCGTCTTAGAAATTTTCTTTCGTAACCATTCTAAATTCATAGACGTTGTAATTCGAAAATTAATTAATTGTAACACCTATAAATTTAAAATGATTTCGAAAAATTTCTGAGACAATGGACAATTTAAACTATCTTTTGACGAGAATCAAAAATCACATTGATTAAACGTCCACGTCGTTGTTGCAACGATGTACCGGCACATTTCAGTGCGGAAAACTCGTAGATAAGGCTTGAGAGATTTATATTGAAACCCATTTGGCAATCGTTCCAGACTCGTTGTACAAATTTACTACTTGCAACTATTGTACAATGGCTGCTAGGTTCGGATCTTAGCCAAAACCTAACCAAAAAATTCAAAACATCGTCGAGGAATTAGAGAGAGGTACAAAAACTAACAAATTAATAGAAGCCACTGAAAAAAATTATAGGACCGTGGAATAACAAAAAATATTCAATAGGTATTTTTCCCCCCACTGTTTTTCCGCGTTAGAGGGATGAAAATGACCTTTTCTTGCAAATTGAGTGATCGAGTTAAAATTCGAGTTACCTCAAATGATATTCCAAACGTTGGCTATTTTGAGATTAAAAGAAAATTTGATATTTAAATACTCACGTTAACGATGATCACAATTATTTACATGCTGGCTTTGGGTAGTAATCCGATTCGTAAATTGATCGTTCCTCTTCTTACACCTGTAACAAAAATTCTTTTGTTAATATTACTTGGGAAACAAGAAACAATTTTGAGTAGTTTGAGGGAAAAAGTGCCACAATTTATCGACTTCTTCGGAACAAGAAATCAAAATAAATGAGTATAGACAGATAACCATGTATGAGAGTATAATATTTTCGAAATATATTTCCTCGTTTTGATATTGTTAATTGTAGTCTATGGTAATTCCAAATTATGTGCAGCCGTAAATCTTGTAGCGTGGCGATTTTAAATAACTCACAAATTATTTGCTGTACGAGCAAAAGGTTTTAAACAAAAGTTAGATGACATCAAGCTTGGCATATTGTACTGTAACTGATCTTATATTACTTTGTTATCTCATCAAGATACGAAGACCTTTTAAATGGAATAATTCATTTTATTTTAAAAACAAAAAATATGACGAAGACATATACACGTACAAAGAAAATAGTGATATTTCACAAGTACAATCAATTTGTTCGTAGAAATAGTTTAGATTACTTTCAAAAACTCGTCCTAAAACTTAATATTTCTAAATCGTTAATGGTTATGGCTTCCAGAAGGGTGTCTCAGTTCGTGAATAAATACTGTCGTGGATTTCGATCGATATACACAACAGACCGTGCAGCGTGTTCCACTTTATGAAATTTGAAAACCAGATGTACGCCATCGTGAATTTTCTTCTTCGTTTTTGACTGGAAAATATCGACCGTCTTGCCCGGGACTCGTTTCAACTACTGGCGGGAGACTAAATATAAAGCAGTATTGGATATTTTCTGGTTTCGAGCACGTAGAATCACTTTATGCCTATATTGTGCCAAAAATAGACACGAAACGACCCAGTACCACGGTGCAATAAACGACGATAAAACAATGAAACTTTCCAAGAAACTAGGAAAACAAGAGTTCGAGCATACAATTATTTCTCGCGAATTCCTTGTTTATCAACGATATCATTAATCGTGCACCGTGAAACGAGAAGTTAACGTCACACATTTTTCTTTACGATTGCCTCTCCCCATTTTTCCATTTAATTTTTCTACTCTTTGCTCGTCGAATGTCGTTCTCGGAGAAAAATAGAAAAGCTTCTCTCTATTATGATACGTCACCGACCCTTCAAAGCGTGTTCTCGATCGAAACTATCCTCGACCGGCGTCTGAGAAGACAAATAAGTCGACGCACGCGGTCGAACAAAACAAATAAACAAAACGAGCGCACGGACTGCTAGCTGTTCGTGTTCCATTGTGCCCGCGACATCTGTGACTACCTGTTAACCGTAGGAACAGACGAACAGACGATATCAGGAGCACTTTTTCATTCGCGAGCGTCGCGACGTCCCAGAGTCGCGCGGAAACCCCGCAAAAACAATTTCCCGATAGGTTTTCCTAAAATATAAACATAAACAGGCCGATTCACAAGCACATCTATCAGTTTTCTGACGGACATTAAAATTTCCTTTTAAAAAGTAATTAATAAAACTGATCTTAAACCGACACACGTTGACGGTTAGATCAAAATGCAATTCTGAAAAAAATGATCGTAATTGACCCCTGCAACCAAAAATAATTTTTCCAGAACGATTTAAACCTTTTGATTTCGCCGAAAAATTTTAGCACCTACTCGAATTTTTTCTCAAAAATGCTTAGGATTTCGAAGGTATGTCTATTCACCTAAAATGATTCTAATTAACCCCCACAACCGAAAATAATTTTTCCAGAATAATGTGAAACTTTTTAATTTCGCCGAAAAATTTTAGCACCTACTCGAATTTTTTCTCAAAAGTGCGTAGGATTTCGAAGGTATGTCTATTCACCTAAAATGATTCTAATTAACCCCCACAACCGAAAATAATTTTTCCAGAATAATGTGAAACTTTTTAATTTCGCCGAAAAATTTTAGCACCTACTCGAATTTTTTCTCAAAAGTGCGTAGGATTTCGAAGGTATGTCTATTCACCTAAAATGATTCTAATTAACCCCCACAACCAAAAATAATTTTTTTAGAATAACGTGAAACTTTTTAATTTCGTTGACAAATTTGTCTACCTACTCGAATTTTTTTCTCGAAAATGGTTAGGAATTCGAGGGTATATCTATTCACCAAAAATGATTGTAATTAATCCCTGCAGGCGAAAATAATTTTTGTAGAATGATTTGAAATTTTTTATTTTCGATTTTTCTTAAAAATTTGTTTGTGATTTTTAATAAATTTGGTTCGCGCTGTACGAAAATGTTGTGCAACACATTTCTGTAGGCATTCATGAGCTCTGCTTCATAAATAAATTTCAATGTCTTTTGTCTACTTTGTATGACTTATTTATTATACTTTTTTCGGTGTGGCAGTGTGTGTATTGCTGTTGAAATCAACGCTGAAACGACCCAGCGGCCAAAATGGGTCGCGATAAAGAAAGATGACGGGAGCTGGAGGAGAAAAGGATCGTTTATTGCGCGAACTTAAACTCCCGTGGAACCCCGTATCTTCCATGTCGTTAATATTTCATTAGGGAAACTCGCCTTTTTCCAAACCGCGTAGCCAGGAGTTAATAACGAGTCTCGCGTTCGTCGTCACACATGCGCTCGAGAATGGCTATGGCAATATATTTCCACAGGTGGCCCCGCGCGCCTGCAACCCGCTACCATAACCCTATATTTCGATAATTCTGACCGTAAATTATAACGGGAGAACCGACGTTCGACCGAAAACGTGCTTCCTCTGCGGCTAATAAACTGCCAATGAACGCTGGGCTCGTTCGATGGAAGGGAACGTATCTTTGGATTGTTTAATTTGAATTTGCTTAATGCAAAACTTTTACGATATTTACGATTTAATTCGAATGATTTTTCCAAGGCTCATGCATTATCAAATACACATTTACACTTGGCAGATACAGTAATGATTCTTAAAATGAACCTTAGACGCTATCGAAAGTTAAACTCGCTTATTTTAAAAATCATTACTGTATTGCTTTCTAACATAAACTTACGCGCTACTTATAAATTTCTAAATTATTTATACTAAAATGCCAATTTTATGTTGAAGTTATTAAATAACAATGTGTAATTTTTTCAGATTTTTCGAATTGATGGAACATAGTTAAAAAAAATTAGAATCCTTATTTCTTTGGATTATTGTTTTAAATATTCGGTTCATTATGTTTATATTATTTACAGTTTCAGCAATTTGTTCACATTTATTTAAAAGGTTAGTCATAGTAAAAAAGATTAAAAAACGATATGAGCAATGGCGACATCATTTTTAAGAGGACAGGGTATTAATACGCTTTTCGAAATAAAGTATCGATTTACAGTATTGAACTACTTTCCAGTACCGGAGCTCCGATTTCAAAATATTTAGAAATCCCGTCAATCTCCAAATTTAATAATAATCCCTCCTTCAATATTGATCGCACACAGTCAATATTTGTCGGTATTAATAATAATATTGACTGTATGCGAACCATTTAACAGCGATTTAGTTTACTCTGTAAGAGAAACTAGTATCGATTGAAACACTTTCACTATCTGTATTCGTAGATCACGTTCACATATTTTCATCTAACCCTACCCTAGTAGCACAAAAATATTGGATATATATTTTTTTCGAATATTGGATAAATATTTTTTGAGCCACACTTTTTCATATTAGATAATTATTAGATGTAATATTGTATACATGTTCAAGAAATATAAATTGAATGTTTAGAACATATAAGCTAAATATTCGGAGAATATAAAATAGATATTTAAATAACATTCAATAAAATCTTTAAATTTAAGAAAAAGTTATACAAAAAATTAATCTCTATATACATATCAACTACTTTCTGTACACTGCTTCAGGAAATATTGTACTTTGTCTTCGAAAAAACCTTGTTACCTACCGTTTACTGTGTTATGTGCTTCCTCGCTGAGCCATGCGAACCTACGTTGTTACATTCATTACTTTTTAGACTTATAAAGGCTCAAATATATAAAATAAAATATATATATATATATATATCTCGTATCAAATCATATAATTATTAGAAGAGATAAACTTCTGTTAAAAAAATTGTTTATTTAAAAATCAAACTACTTTTTTTTAATGACGCATATTATTAATAGTATGTTAACGACATACAGATATATATTTCCTCAAGTACTTCCATCGTAGGTAAGCATCGAAACACATACAATATATTTGTTAACTGTACTACAATTGCGAATATATTTTCTTTTCAAGATCCAAGTTCACCATTTTCTAATAATTTAAATTTATTTTATAATACTACAATAAATTTTATCCAATTAACAAAATAATATTTGATTATTTGTTAATTCATTTATTTTATTAACACATACAAAAAATTAATAATAATTAAAAGAATGTTTAATCTTACAGTTCAATCATATTACGTAAGACGTAAGAGCTACACGATTATTTTTCATACACAACTTTGTTGCATTAATGTTCTTATAATATAAACACATGTCGATTAAGTGACATACACGAATTAATGTAAATTGAAAGTAAACATTTTACTTCGCATCATATTCTGGAACAAATATTCATCCATGATAAACATAAAATATTTCCTAAATATTTAAAAATAAATATTCTACTTCAAATATTACATAAAGATTCATTTTATAATGAGAAAAAATATATTTTCCATGATATGAAATAAATATTATCTGTAAATTAGGAAAAAATATTCTATTTCTAATATTAAATAAAGATTTGTTTTATAATGAGAAAAAATATTTTTTTCATAATATGAAATAAATATTATATGCATATTTAAACAAAATATTCTATTTCTAATATTACATAAAGATTCATTTTATAACAAGAAAAAAATATTTTTTTCATAATATGAAATAAATATTATCTGTATATTAGGAAAAAATATTCTATTTCTAATATGGAATAAAGATTCATTTAATATTCAGAAAAACATATTTTTCTCGTAACATGAAATAGATATTTCCAGCATATTTAAAAAAAAATATTTGTTACT